GGGGGGGGGGGGGGGGGGGGGGGGGGGGGGGGGGGGGGGGGGGGAGCCGGGGCACGGGAGAGGACGTCTGGTGGGGCAGGTCCAGGGGCTGCCCCTAACCTTCGAGCTGATGGAGTGTCTGCAGGCCACGGTGGAGACCCAGGAGAGTAATGGGCGAGGTGAAGCTCCTCACACGCCAGGCCTCATTAGGAGAACACGAGTGGCACTGCGGCGCTTTTTACGAGGCAGCGGTAGGAAGGAGAGGTCACGCCGAAAATAAACCCCTATTTCAGTTCAAGTATTTAAGCGTAAATGTGTCCATGCGTCACGCCAGCCGGCACCACGGGATGTCTGGGAAGCATAATTAAAATGGGAAGTCATCTCTCTGCGTGCATCCACCTTCATTATACGCGGTGGCTGCAGGTTGACATTGCCGCTGTCAAAGGCTTCGCTCCGTGAACCCAAGTCTGCGGCGGCTCTCGTGCTTTAATGTGGGCTTTGTGTCGGCGGGGAAAATGGCTCGATTAGAGCTGGACGTGCAGAGCAGTTAAACCGATATTTACATGGCTATGAAAAATGAGGAGGAAAAACGATGTATTCCCCATATTCACTGAAGGATTACTTCAGAAATAATTTATTAAAAGCCAGCTTCAAAACAAAACATCTGCTGCTTTCATGTCGCACTGGCGAGGTGCCAGACATACAGCGATATCGTATAGTGGGTCTGAAGTTTTTGTTCCTTAATAGAAAATTCTTTTCTACAAAGATCAGAGCCTTTGATAAAGGCGCTTAATGTGGGAAAAGGCCATCTCCAAGTTTAAAGCAGGGACTAACAATGGAATATATTATTGCCGTTACTTATTTTATTTCACCCAAAGCATAGCTTGCGGGCTTTTCTTCCAGCAATACTGAGGAAATGGCGTGCTCAAGGGTATGCCACAAATTTTTTTTTTCCAGAGATTTGATTCTGCAGCCTTATGGGCAATATACCCCTCTGCTGAACTTTTTCAGGACAGGCTTGGAACAGTTACCCACAATGCTGTTGGAGAAATCCGGAAGCATTCCGTCTCATGTTTGTGTGTGCGTGCTTGTGTGTGTGTGTGTGTGTGTGTGTGTGCGTGCCTGTGTGTGTGTGTGTGTGTGTGTGTGTGTGTGCTCACACCCTGAGCTGGGATACTTTGGGCTCAGAAAGGTTCTATTCTTGCTCCATTAAAACAACTTCTTGTCTTACTCCTCTTTTGAGTGTGACCCTGTTTTTTTGTGTTCGGTCTTTCCATTCTTGCGTTTACTGTTACTCAGGTGATTCCAGTCACGTCTGCTGCGCTCCCAGCCCGTGTCACTGCGTGTGCAGCGCCTCGTCCCATGAAGCTTGTTTGCAGGATCTGTCTTGTTTGGTATCTGTGTTCCACTTTTATGTGTGTCACCGACGTGCAGGAGCTGCCAAAGTAGAGTCAATTATTTCTGAAGGAAACTTGAATAAATGCTGCTGGTTAAGTGACGAGGCTGACTTTGGCGGGGCTCGCTGCGGGATTGTGGGAAACGGGATTGCTGGAGCTCAGTGCTGAATGATGAAGATGAGGAATATGATCAATAAGACCCCTATTTCTGCTGATCAAGAGGACCCCAGTTCCTCACCTTATCCTGGAGTAATTTGATTTGATACACACAGTTCCTGGTGCGAGACCTCAATGCTCATACCCACCCCTTCAATCTGACTAGGCAATGAAAGAATTCAGCGGCACTTAAACAATGCCGCATTGTAATTGTTGCCCTAGTTTACTTTTAAAGTTTTTCCACTTGCGCCTTCCTCTACCTCCTGTTGTAAAACAACTTTTTAAAAAGTCAAATAGTAGGGATGAGTAAGCAAAGTTGCGTGTTGTAATATTAACTATTTACCCTTGGTCAGTATTGTAAGGCAGTCTTGTTGTGGATCCGAAAGTTTCTCAGCAGTAAAAACTTTTTTTTTTTTAAATGCAAGTTCTGTTATCAAATCAAACTTTTTTTTTTTCTTTTTCTGACTGCAGACACTGTTGTAATGTTGGCTTTCCATGTCAGGGATATGGGCCCGTTTGATGTAGCATGTCAGTATGATTGCTAAGGTGAGCAGTGTGGTTAGGTTTATGTGTCAGTAAAAAAAAAAACATACACATCGTATAACACTCCTCCGACTTCCCGATAGCTTCTCTCCTGGGTGTGCTCCCCACAGAGTTTCCAGGGCTTCAAGAATTTAAATACATGCTCCTTTACAAGAATGCTGCTGGATTTGACTGGATATTCTTCTTGATGATTCTAGATATGCCCCAGATGCACAACACAAGTGTTTATGGGAAATCTGAGAAAACTAGAGGCTCACTGTTTGAAGATGCACAATGTTAATTGACACAACGCAATCCTCCCTCACAGTATAGTAGCATTCCTTGGAAGGGTGTTTACCATCCTGTCCGCTCACTTGAGCAGCTTTCAGTAGCTGAAATAAAAGCAATGATGGATTGTAATAGATTGTCTGATAGCGTTTTCCCTTTTTCTCATGATAGTTAGGCAGTTTGGATGACACCTTTAAGACTGTTTTGACCGGAAGAGCGTACGCTACTGATTAAGAAATCAGAGTTGAAACAGCACAGATGCTGTGGCAAAAACTTGTCCTCATTGTAACAGCATCCCAAGATAAGAGAAGCGTCATGCCACTTCAAGCCCAATGCCCGTCGGCTGTAAACAGGGGGAAGTGTGTGTCAGGGAATCTAATGAACATGCAAATTGCTTTTAGACAATGAATGTGATGTCTTTGTTTGGGTGCTACTGCAGAAAAAGGACAAATGTTCAAATACCAGTTATGCAAAGCCAGGGTGATTTATTATTTCTCTAGTCAATGCCAGGGAATGACCCCCTTTTTGCAGTTTTTTTGCTACTGCTTGCCTGGAGAGTTTCAAAAGCAGATGTGATGCAATATAGCAGCAGCCTCAAGGGAAATTACAGGCATTTGACTTGATATGGGATATTAAAGGCAGATCAGTGGGTCACCTTACCCAAATAACAGCCCAGTTGTCGGTGTACAAAGCCATATAATCTTATGCAGCCCAGTGAGCTCAGCTCCAGGACCAGCAGAACATATAGCTATGTTTGTTGTAATGCTGTTACTGGTAATTGTTTGCTGGTCAAACTGGCTGAAAATGTTTCATTGGTCTTTATCATTTTTATTTCTGTGTCTGAATGTGCTGTACAACTTTTTGGTTTGACTTATATGATTGTGGTTTCCCAGAATTCCTTGCATTGTAGACCAGCTCTCTTTATCTCAGTACTTGGCAGTGGGGGGGTGGGGGTGGAAGCGGGGGCTGCAAGGGTAGGCAGAGGTGGCGAACGCCCCTCTTTTTATGTGACGCACGCCCCAGGCGTAATTAAACCAGAGTTTTAATTAACCTCTCAAGTGCACGAACAGAGAGACGTGAACAGGCTCATTGACAACCTTTCTCTGTGCCCCATTTATTATGAATAAAGCTCTAATGACATGCTTTTGGAAAATTAATACATGGATACATTTTTAAAAAGTTGTTTTCTTTTTAAGTTTGCCAGAGGGAGTGCAGCAGTGCTTTACCTCTGTGACATTGCGGTGTCGTCATGAATGATTAAACTGGAGGCTGCCATTAACAATACATTGCTGCATCACTGCATCCATTCTTTGCTGTCATGGTTGCATTGGTGTATAGTTAAAATAAAAGCCGACGTCCCAGATAAATAAATAACCAAAAGCCATATCCAAGAGCACAAGCTTCTGTTGTTGTGCGTGAAATGATTTAATTTCATGTCATTCCCTGGTTTTTTTTCCCTACTCACCTTTGGTGTTAGCAAGATCAAAGAGGTTTTCTGTCACAAGAAGTAGTACATGAAGTGGGGGTGGATTATCTCCGGCTGGGGGTCGTCCTCCTTGCTTTTGGTCCAGGTTTGGTATAATTGAAGAGAGGCACCCCCTGGAGTCTCTTTCCTCTTACCTGCCCACTCTTGTACAACAACAGTCCCCAAACACAGCGCGCCCCTCCCCCCCCCATACCCCTCACAATGGAGGGCGCCGCACCTGCCAGTGGGTACCACTGCCACTGTGGATGCAGGCATCCTGATGGGCTGCTGAAGCACAAACAGCCTGATGTTGGGAGCTGGCCGCAGTGGTCTGTCTCGCCGTCATCTCCGGCATTAACGTTAATAAGGGCGGCATAATAGGACCGCAGTGGTCTGTCTCGCCGTCGTCTTCGGAATTAGCGTTAATAAGGGCAGCATAATAGGAGCACAGCGGGCATCTGTGACAGATTCGGTCCTTCTACCGCGTTCATTGTGTGGCTGTTTCCGCACAGTCTTACGAGCGTCACAGTAACGTCACATTATATTCACGCTAAATTCTTGGTTTGTTAGGTTCATCCAGGACGTATCATAGCTGTTATGTGGTTCTCAGTTTTAAGAAGCACCCTAATTTGTAGAGCCAGGAATCACTAAATCTCTCCCATTAAGTTATTGTCGCTTGATGCAGTTTTTTGGCAGCAATTTTTTGTTTGTCGGGATCAGCGACTCTTTCAATTTTGTGAAGTGGTGATACGTGAATTTGCTAATTAAAATAGTTCCTAAATCTCGCTACTGTTATTTTAAGCATCTCTATTTAATAAAAGCAAAAAGGTGCTTAAGGCTGTAAGTAAGATCACAGAAGCCATGGTGCATTACCACATTATGACAGTCATAGAAGAGCGAAGCCCTTATGACTTCAGGATACATTATCTTGGATTTATATTTTTTCTTTATTCACTGTTTTTGCTTGGTTTTTATATATGTGCTGTCCAGATGAATCACTATATGGAAACCACCGCATATGATGTATTCAATGTAATGTAATATTGATTTATTACTGTCATCGGACAACGGTTCATGCAGAGCTCAGCTGTAGCTGTGTGTTTACTTAAGTGCACAGCATGCTGACACTTAAAGGACAATATAAGGTTGGTTATCTTTAAAGTTCCATTGTCCAAGCTTCCACCCCGTCCTGCTTTGGTGGGGAGCACATTTCCCTGACATACATGGGACTAAGATGGAGTGAAAATAAGCATCTCTTTGGACCATATTGTTTCAGCCCCCTCCCTTTGAGACTTACTATTGAACACAGGAAACATAAGTCAGCCCACGGTTCGAGGGGCATGTGGGAATGGTTAACACCCCAATGGTCCATGACCCGACCCACCCCTCCGCCCTCACTGTGCGTCTCGCCCAGTCATAGAACTCCTCCACTGGGCACATTCAAAAAAATAAAAATAAATACAAAACATACAAACATGCATAAAGAAGCTGCATTTTAATCAATGATATAAAACAGATGGATCTATGAGAAGGAACTCGTGTAAAATATTTGGAAGGGAAAATAACCCGGGGAGTCTGTCTGGCAGCGTCCAGGATAGCATGTTGTGACATTGTCCATTCTGGGTTTCATTTTTCAAGCCATGCATTCAGCTGGGATGAGGAATTGCGGCTCGTTCGCGCAGAGCTGCAGTGGTGAGGCGTTCACTTTAGTCACATTTTGCACCCTGCTGATGAGACAAACCCGCTGGATTCTTGTTTTCATAAAATAATACAAAAAAGTGATTCTATTTAAAAGCTTACAAAGTTAGAAATTACTAAACTGTATAAGAATCTATTCAACTTTTCTTTTTAACTACCAAAATTGATCGTGGGCTTGAGAATAGGGTTAAAAAGATTCTATTTTAGCTTTATTTTTATTTATCCCTCCAGTCATCAGTTTTATCCATTTGATTTGGTTTTTAATCATTTTTCTATGCACAAAATTTTAGCACAGAGGCCTATTAAATTGTAAGTCAATTAAAAGGAAGGACAATTAAAAAGGAAATGGTAATTGTAATTAAGAAACTACAACACTGATGACAAAAGTGCTTTTAGAGAAAACATTCCATTCCAACATTTCATCTCCTTTTGTGCTCTCAATCTGAAATTCCTGTTTTCTAAGTACTTCTTTGAAATCCTGTAGCAAGCTTCTGGAAACGAGATTTTAATGAATTTGTAAAACAGTTGTAGCTGTTTTTCATCAAGTCACTTTGGGATATATTAACAGTTAATGATACATCTCTATGTTTCATTGCCAGGAAAGATTTCTACTTTGCCTTCTGTTGAGAGTAATTGGAAATTGTCTAGGTTGTGAAAGCTCACTGTCCCTCACTGTCAATGTACTTACACTGTCAAGACATAGACAACACTGTTTGGCTCCCCCATGTGTAAATCCACTGTCTCTCATCATGTCCATTTTGTTGGTTTGTCAGTTGCTCACTGTCCTCCTTGTTCTTCTCTGAGATCGAAAGACAATGTGTGTGTCACTGATTTATTGCTGTAATAGTTAAGTGCCTAGTCTTAAATCAACCAAAAAGACCCTGTGAGAACTCGTATGGCATTTACACGGTTAATGTTCTTGCGTGATTCAAGAACACTTTTCAGTTTTTCAGTGTTCCCATAAAAAATATGAACTCACTTGCTAATTACACATATTAAAGTTTTCTGATGTTCACGGTTTTACTGGCTTTCCACTGGAGGGAAGAATATTAAGTAAAGTGCTGAGTGCCCTTAGCTCACTTGTCGTGTGTGTGTGTGTGTGTGTGTGTGTGTGTGTGTGTGTATGACACGGCAGGACTCGGATAAGAAGGGCTTTATGGACAAGCTGTACGCCATCCAGGATGTGTGCAGCAGCGTGCAGACGGCACTGGATGCTGGGGCCTCCTTCGGAGAGAGGATTAAAAAGTAAGTTATGCTCTGGAGGGCTGCCAGGCCATGTACAGCATCCTCAGAAAGAACTTTCAGTGTAGCGACTAAGGTGTGGGTAAGTAATTACTGAAGAAGAACTCTGCTGTCCAGCAGAGAGAGCAACTTACCTGCATTTGGCAGGATATTTACAAGAGCGTTTTGGAGAAATGCACAGGCATTGCTCAAGGGTACAAAAGTACTCACTCCTTGCATTTGAACTTATCACCTTTAGCCCCATTTCCTGCTGTGTGTGTTTAATATTTATGGAAGATCCGCTGAATGGCATTACAGTACGTGCCGAATATGAGACAGAATCATCGTCGTTCTTCTCCCAAAGAGTGTAGCTAAGTTGCGGAATGCCACCCGCAGAAGGGATGCTGGGTACTGGCTTAAAGCACATGAAAGAAGCCGGAGCATCTGAATGTTTATGTATGTAAGGATCAGAGGCGGCTCTGAGATTAGGGAGGGGAAGGCCGCAGCGGAGCCCCACGGCTACACAGCGCCTCCTGGGGCAGGCTGGAGGGCTCACGGTCAGTGAACACTGGGGCCCTGCCTAGTAAAAGCAATGCCCCCGGACCACCCTCTCCCCAAGCCCCCTGGCACAGCTGCACCGCATTCCCGTGCGCGAAACCCCAGGCTGGTACTCATCCTGGGGTCTGCATGCCACTCTTTGCAAGAAGGTTGGCTGATCATAGGCACCCCCCCCACCTTGTCTCTCTGCAGCACTTTCAACTGGACGGTTCCTTTCCTGAGCTCCCTTGCCATCGTGGTCCTCTGTGCTGCTACACTGGCTGTCTATTTCATCCCTTTCAGATATATTGTGCTAGCTTGGGGTAAGTAGTGCTTTTAGTGTAATAGCTTAGTATTTAGCTATAAACATATAACATGCACACTTTCACATACATTGCTTCATGTATGTATTTTCTTATCTTTTCATTCTTTTCTATATCTTTCTTATATTTTATCGAACCTGCATACACTACACCTTAAACATTTATTTATGTGCATATATTAACTCATTAAATACAGTTTAAGCACAGTTTTCTGGCAACATTTTTGATCCACATTATGGATCCAATATTTATTGAATAGAAAAAAAATCTTCGTCATGAAAGGGCAACCGGATATAGGCGAAGCTGTCACCTACAGCTGTGTTCCTTAACATGGCCCTCGGGAACCCACCAGATGGTCCACGCTCTTGCTCCCTCCTAGCTCCCTGCCAGACAGTTCACATTTTTGCACCCTCTGAGGTAGCAAAAACTTGGACCGTCTTGGGGTTGCCAAGGACCGGGATGAGAAGCACTGATCTATAGTGACTGCTATGGCTTCCTTTTAGAAAAGATGCGGAATAAAGTGCAGCATACGTGAATTTTTTTTTCTGTTAATTACACAGATTAAGAATTTACAAAGAATGCATTACTGTTAGTCCATTTTCTTTATGCTCCTGCCAGCAGAGGTGCATCCAGTTCTGTGTAACAGCACCTAAGCAAAGATCAAACACAAAGAAAACATGCACTGTCCACTCTGGCTCTGTTTGAACTCGCCGGTGCTTTCCGTGGGGCAGAGCTGCGTGTATGTATAATAGTAATCTTTGCCTGAAGATGAGGCGGCTGATTTCAGAGAGGCCTTTGATGGCCAGTGATGTAGGTGGTGGTTGTGATCCACACACAAAGTGCACTCATCCCCACTCCGCAGGGCCAGTAACTGTATCTGTCCTCCCCGGCAGGTGTGAATAAATTCACCAAGAAGCTCCGTGACCCATACATGATCGATAACAGCGAGCTGCTGGACTTTCTCTCCCGGGTGCCGTCTGACATACAAGTGGTAGGTGCACTTTCATCTCCCGTTAATATGCGCTGGCTGGGCCTTCCCATCAGCCTCTCTGTCTAATGCTGCCTCTCCACATGACTCTCATCACCCGCGGCGGCCTCCGTGCCTGATTATTAGCAGGGACACATTCTGGTTAAAAGTTCACCCTTGTACTGACTCCCCCGTGATAAACATTCCTATTTTGATGAATTGCAGAGAAGCTGTTTTCTGACTCGGCTGTTTAAATGAATCTGTTTATCGAGAAAGATAACTCTCTTAAGACAGTAGATGCTGATGGAGGTATAATCAGCTGTAACAGAGCTGTGCAGAGATACCCATGTTTGTTTTTCCACTTTTAGTCTTATATGTAGGGGAGACAGATGTGGAACGAACTTTTAACACACTTCAGTAACTATCCCGCGCTATACAAGCATCTTAAAGCTCCAAGCAGGAACATATCTTACGAAAAGTACACAGATTAATGGGTAAATAGATACCAGATTTGATTCAAACATTGTTCCTGGTCTTCCCTACTTATGCAGCCTTAGATGCAGAGATGGAATTTGTCTGCAGAAATGTTATGCGGTGTGTGTTTGTGCAGGACAGTAAGTCCAAGGCGGCAGGGCACAGAATTCCCACCTGTCACGCACCGTTGTTCCCTTCAGTGAGAGTACCTCACTGTGACTTGTATTTTTTCCTCTTTGGCCGTAGCATGTGTCCCGTTGCACCGGGGTAAACCCGAGTTCTAATCCTGAAGCAACCTGCTGCCACATAAGCTTGGCCGGGCTGGCCTTTGATCGCCTGTTGGCAGCGACGTTTTGATCTTTACAAGGTCATAATCCCAGGCCCCGGTAGCTCTTCGGGGCTTTTACACAGCCATTACAGCAGCAGGCTGCCCACTCAAATTAGCACAAGGTGCCTTTCTACCCAGAGAAGGTCCCTCGCACACCTTGTTGTGGAGGAACAGCAGGTCGGATGGCTTTAAAACGGGCCTAATGAGAGGTGGCCGGGAGGCCATTGACACTCAACCTGTTCCCAGTGGTTAATTGGGGCCAGATTTGGGGTCTGGTAGCCTGCCCTCCAGCCCCTGATGCAGCAGGCTACTCCAAAAAGAGCCCCTCCACAGTGGGAAGCAGGAAGCCTCCAAATGAACCACAAAGGCCCCCATCTCTGCCACCCCAGCCTGTCCCTGTTCCTGCCCCCCAAACCGCTGCTTCTCTTTTTAGGTTAACGCTCAGGAGTAAGAGCTGTCCTGTTGGGAGCAGCTACTGCGAGGGGCTTTAAGTAGAAATTAAGCATCCTACCTCACAGATTGTCTCAGGCGTGCCCTCGGGTGCTGGGGTGATCTCTGTGGAAGACAAATGACAGGCTATTTCTAGGCCCCAAGTGGCTCACCCTGCCCACAGTGTCCTTCAGTTCCCTTGTCTGGGGTTCAAGAGCCCCCTCATTGTCACACATCTTTTGCAGGTGTTTTACAGTGTTAAAAATGATGATTTTTCCAATGACTCTACACAAAGGACAACCACACACATCATACATTTTTTTTTGTCTTTTTACTGCATCATATGTAAAGGCTTGTGTCTTTGTTAGTGTGAATGTACGCACATTTAACCTTTAGTTTAATATGTGTAGCTTAAATTGACGCGGTATTACTCTAGGTCAATTTTATTAAGTTCATACGCAAAGCGATTGATATCAACAATCATCCTTACAATGTCTGATAAATATCTTTGCTGACAGAAAACTATTACAATTAATCATTCAGTCGATTTTAACTGCACTCAAAATGTCAGGGAAAATGCACAAAAGTTCAAATGATGACCACTTCAAGAACTAATATATATGGTTTGTTTTGCTGTTTCACTTAAAAGCAGGGCTAAGACTCACCAGGTCAGGGAGAGTCATGCCTCTGGGCGTAGAGCCATTGCCCTAGTGAAAATATTGCAAATATATTGATCATAGTCTTCTTTCCTCAGTGCCAGTGTTCTCTACACAAGACTGTTGTATTTCTATCCCCAAGTCAACAAGACCCTGAAAACTTGCTGTAAAACTTTCTTAGTTTTCTCCCCCTCTCATGTTTTCACCTTGACATGCCTTTTCTCTCATCGAAGCAGATGAGAAAACTGCATCCTTCTGTCTGTGGGAGTTTCGGGTACCCTTCGCTACCATTTAATACCCATAATGCTACCTTAGGAATCGCAGGAGAAGAAGCGGCAGCTTTCTCTCTTATTATATATACACAAACAGCATTGTATAGTATCATTAAGAATGTTCGCCTTTCATGGTCTCATTTATTTCTGCCTTCTCCTGTCGCACAGCCCACTTTAAACAGAGATCCCCCCTTAGCTGTAGGAAGACAGTGAGTGCTCCGCGCGTCGAGTCCTGGGATGTCGGCTGACACCACTAAACGAGGCGCTGTTGTGTGCGGCACGCCACCCGAGCTCTCACTTCAAAGATTGTTTTGTAGTTCAACTGTCAACATGGGGAAATGAAGGTGGAGCAGCCTTTGTACGGCCTGGGGTCTTTACTCATGCTCTCGGGTGGCTTCTCTTTGTGCCGCCCACTTTTCCTCAAATTGCAATCACACTTTTCCTCTCCACTTCTGTCCTTCCTACCTTTTCATTTTAACTAGCTGGCCGTGTTATTTTCTCTGGAACAGATTATTCGACATTAAGAGAGGGCTGGGCACACTTAGTTGCTTGGATGAGCCGCTTGTGAAGCGTAATGGAATCTGTGATGTGCTAACGATTCATATCTTACTGAGAAATTATTATTATTATTAGTAGTAGTGGTGATAGTAGTAGTATCACTGCTTGATCTGAATCTGGAATAGTTTCCATGTTGTTTTAGACGATTACTTTAATAACCAATTAAGGACCAAATAAGTGTAGAATGCATTACATCTTTCTTCTGTCCAATTTGAGTATTTTATTGTGTTAGGAAATGAATCACATTTATTTGATCTGTGCATCATATACAGTAAGTGGTCGCAGAGACACACCTGGGGTGACAGTTGCGGTCCCCATTATTATGGAACACTGAAGGTTAGCTGGATATGGGTGGGAGGTGGGATGCAAATGCGGATGAAAGGTCTCAGGTTAGGTTTCATTTGCTGCTTTCTTCAAAACTTAGTTAAACATTTTTGAATATGATGTATTCCAGAAAGCAGGAGTGTAAATTACGGGGGGCATGGTTGTAACCCCCAATAATCAAAACCAGCCATTGCAACCCCAGTGCCCCCCCTTAAATGTGTGGAGACCTGAACCTCCCCCCAATGCTGAACCCAAAGTTTTGCCCTTGCCAAAAAGCAACAATTTTTAAAATCCTCCCAAACACCAATTGCTTCCACAGTTGCTGTCATTGCTCTTTGTTGTATGCTTAGCTGGTCACTGCATCTCCTGTTTCCCTGCGATTCCTCTTGCCTTGATTACCACCCTCCCCAGTCACTGCGTTTTCCAGTTTCTTGCTACTGTCATAAGTTGGGCCATCAATTGGATTTGAATTGAAATTTCTTAAGCTTCCCTGCCAATACTTGGGGCCTTATAGACGATGGATTTGGAAAACTGCAAGTCAACATTGTTTGCTTGTGTATATTTGCTTGTATATAATATTTCCACTGTCAGAATCTGTTATAAATGTCTTTCCCAGGGTTAGTACTGTAGGGCAGTATGAAAGTTGCAATATTTATGAAAGCAGTCATTGCATACAGTTTGAATGAAGTGTTGTCTGTAGTGGAAAAAAAATGAAAATCAGACCCATGTTTCCATGTTCCTCTCAGTGGGAGATTCATAGTCTGACCCAGCAGCACAATTACACGTCTGCTGTACCGCTCTGAATGTAGACAATAAAACCATATGAATCAGCATACACAGATGGAGGCGTATAAAATTTCCACTGTGTTGCTGCTCAAGTGTCTGTTGTAGTTGGCAGGAATGTAGAACTCTACACACATGGAAATGCCGTCATCAGCCAAAGTTTTGAACGGCCGCTCCCTGGAACTGTGCTCACGTGGCTTTTTCCTGCACTTGCAGTGAGGGATAGTGGCTTGAATCCTACATTCGGGCTCTTGGGGATGTTCATGCTGAGGCTACAGTAAGCTGTACGTTTCTGAGCGAGCGCCATTACCTCAGTGGTTCCTCAGGAAAATTGAATTTTCCCTAAATATTTTGTCATTCTTCGGTGATCCAGCCTTGAATGTGATTATGGAAGATGGTTGCAAAAATTTTGTTTTGATGAGTTCAAGCCTTGTAAAACTGTGACATCGTACCTACCTTTTAAAACTATTGCCTTGTGCATGAACCTTCCTTTAGTCTTTGAAGGCTTCTCCAGAGGTTTTACTAAAAGCCCCTCACTGCACTCATTGTCCTTTTGCCTCTTTTCATTGTCATGCAGAGACTCTGTCTGCTAACCTGGCTTTAGCAGAGATTTCCACCCAGAGACGCGATCTGGCTTGGGCAGGTTCTCAGTGGGAAGAGGCCAATTCTTCTGCTCAGCTCGGTCACCCATAGTTTATCGCTCCTCCCCAGCCTCCTCGTCCTTGGTTTCTTCGGGTTAAGTCATTTTCGCTGAGCACTGGGGTATCCAAATCGGTTCGGACTCCCCCTTCTCAACAAGTGAGGGATTTTGTTTTTCTTTCTTTTTACAGATCCATAGCTAATGAAGTAACCCATCTTCATGGTGTCCATTAATTATGTGGGGTTTTAGAGGAAAGGTTATATAATGCATGAATTAAGGCTGGTGTTCAGGCCAACTTTGAGAAAAGGAGATTAAACTGCAATCTCTGTGGCGAATACTGGCGGGAAAGCAAATCTCTGACATTTTATTTCAGCGGCTATTGTCTGAGGTAATGTTGTAGTTTCTGTGACCCAGATGACTTCTTGTATTTTTGTCTTGTAGTTTCTAAGATGTTCTTTCAGCTACAGTAGATGTTTTGAGAATGAGGGGAAAAAGCAAAGTGATTGTTTCTGTTTGGTATTTCTTTCAAAATTAGTTTTTGCAATTTAAATTGCACAGTTTGTGGGTTTTTTAAAAGGAATCTTGCCACTCGGACTCGTGATTCCAGTGCATGGCAGGTACCTTCATATATCATCATTTGCCTTTGATACATTGCTGTGACTGGTGTATAAAACCTGGTTCAAATATACTGTGTGACGAGCCCCCAATGCAAACTAGTGTCACTTATTAGAATGGCCTAAGCTCCTCTGTATTCACCACAGTGAAGCACAGTGTGTCCACATCGGAATGGTGATGCAATGCTTTGTAAAGGTATAAATCCCGTTTCATCTTGTTACTCCCAATGGTCCTCGAGTTCTCAAAAGGCAGCAATTCACTGCGAGTCGGCACCATTGCCGTTGTGTTTTTAAGTCAACTCACTGTTAGGCTACCTTTCACTGTGCCCGTTTCACGCCCCGGTGAGGACCGTCGCTGTCTGGGAGGGGGTTCATTTCTGTTCTGTGCCTGAGTGCTGAGCGGGACAGCTGTCTTTCAGTTCCCTCTCTCTTTCCCATGCTCTCCACCCCTGTTGTTTGTCTGAACCCTTCCCAGAGTCCTCTCTGCTGCAGCTGGAGGACGATTCAGATTCTCAGGCTAACCCCAACCTCCTCTGCTCTGTCCACCTGACTGAGCCTCTTGTATGTTTTAACAGGTGCAGCACCAACAGCTGAAGCTAGATCCCAGTCAGAGCCCCAGCAAAAGAAAGAAACACATCCCAGGCTAGTCCAGTCCTGCGAAGCACCCAGAAGATGGAGATTTGGCTGAGGCCACGCCTCCTCCCCTTTTTCACTTTCCATAACCTCCTGTTTTTTTGTAAAGTATGTACAGATTTTAAAAAGTGTAATTATTTCTGTAAAAAATAGTTTTAAGTATTATTTTTAGCCATTGTTTACCTGTGTGGAGTGGGAGAATGGCATTGGTACTTGACCCCTTTCAGTGGCAGACGAACAATTGCAATTTCTCGCATAATCAGCTTGACAGCTTTAAAAGCACAACGCTCTCTTGAATGGTTATACTGAGGTGATGGATTTGCATATCTCGGTAACAGATTAACATGCGAGTGATTGCCCATACAAATGTATTGTCATCCTCTACAATGCACACAGAAATATCAGGGATATCTATCAAAAAGCGTTTCCTTTCGTCCTTGCGAAATGGTGTGAATCATGTGAATCACCATTGGTGATCTTTCAAAGCTTAAAGAAGTCTTCCTCCGCATTTCTACACGTGCAATTTTAACGATATAAGAACACTGCACAGATGACGATAAGGTTATTAAAAGGTTGTAGCTTTCAGTGTGTTAATTGGCTTGTACAGAAAACACAAGGGAAGTTATTTACTCGGAAATGCAATATGGAATTACCCATCAAATTCAGCCTGTGGCTTTGTGTGTTCTGTTTTGCATGGATTTCCTTCGGGTACTCCCCTTTCCACCCGTAGTGTGTGTGTGTGTGTGTGTGTGTGTGTGTGTGTGTGTGTGTGTCCTACAATGAACTGGCATCCTGTCCAGTGCTGTTCTCCCGTCTTGCAGATAAGGTCTAGGCTTCAGGCTGTCTGTGACCCTGCACTGGATAAGCAGTGGGAATATAGATGGATTGATGCATTATTAATATATAATTTTTTATAAAGTAAATTAATTTTAAAGAATGTGAATATGTATTGTAAGAAATAAAGACAATGTAAATGGAAGATGAATACTTTAACATTCTTGGGTTGATTTATCCTTCTTTTGTAGAATTTTTATATACTTCTATTACTTGCATGGTTATCGATGTAAGTTTGACCGTCATATTCTGCCTTCCAAGTTTGGAGTGTGATGCTAATTGTGATGCTGGTACTTCTCCTTCCCCTGACTTAAGAACACTTGATGTAAAGTATCTCTTTGAAATGAATGTTTATTCCAGCATGATAAAAAAAAAAAAAAAAAAAAAAAATCGCTCTGTATGGCCAATAAATAGTGTATTTAAAATGTCTTGTTTCCAATCCTAAACATGAATGCCTGCTTTGACGGGTAAATGCATTGTGGTTTGGGTTGATAAGGACGCCGTATGGCTGCAAGGCCGCACCATTCCTTATGAAGGCTGCGATGGTACGGAAAGTGGGCCTTCGTCAGATAGCTTATAATTGTGCGAGGACCTGGCCTGCACACTTTAACCAGACATGTAGGGTGCTGTACTTACAGATGGAAGAAAGGCTTTTTTCACTGTACTTTTTCCCTTTGTATTTCCTTCATTTCTTATGTCCAAGTGTTCAGCCATGCTGCTGTTTACGGGACCACATAGACACAGTCTTCTTAAATTCCACTGCAGACATTACAGCTTCCATTATGGAAATTTTAGGAAGAGCTTCCAAATAGATTTTAACAAATTTCTGAAAATGGAAAAACGTTATAAATATTTGAAACCAACGAAAAAGTTTGAATTTTACACTTTTCAAAAAGGATCGATCCCATTTATCAAACTTGTTTTAACAAATCACACAGCACTTTTTTTTGATGCAATTTGCAAGACAACCAAAGTATTTTGATAAAAGGCAAAAAATGTATCATGGCAATGTGAAAATCACTAACCTTATAAGGCTTTTTCATTTTTACATTTTAAACCATGTAAATATTTTATTAGACTGTTTTGTATGATTGTGACCAGGCCAGGCTGCGGTTTCTACATGATGTAGAAATGTATGCATTCTTACCTACTGCCTGTAATTTGATCTTTGAAATCATTGTTTCTAGCAGGTAAACCAGTACTGTGAGGGGATTTTATCACGATAACAGCTAATAGCAATGGGAGGTACATACAAATGAATGCACTTGGATGTCAGTTGCTTTTCCTGAAAATGAATGATAAAATATTAAATTAATAAAATGATTTTTAATACAAAAATACACGATTGCATCTTGTTGACTTTGATTGCTGCACAAGTGACCTGAAGCTTGTCGAAGATCAGAGTGCACTTCCCGTTCTACGTTGCCATCGGTAACATTAAACAGGAAACGACAGTAGTGCCGCATCTTTAACACAGACACCAGGTGCTGGCTGAGGTGATGCAGTGCAGCTGTAAGTCCTTTATGCCCGTGAAAGACCCGTGACTCATTTTCTGCCATTAGGTCTGTTTAAAGTCTACAAGTCAAATGTTCAAACCCATGTCAAGTCATAATTTATGACTTGTCCACACTGCATTCTTCAGAATACCACAATCACTAGGATTCACATTCGACACAAGCCCCCTTTCAAGGGGAGCAGTCCACCACAGAAGGAGGTCAGGAACACTTGCTTATTACTTAGGTCTGCACATTCCCATTGCTCTTTCTCTGACAGGCAGACAGGACACAGCAGTACTAGGGTTCTAATAGGCCTGGACGATATGGCAAAAATTTATATCACGATATATTTCTTAATTTTGGTCGATACGATATAATTCCGATATCGATATGGACAATATTAAAAAGCCTC